AAGTATAAATAGCTTACCAATGTATGCCAAAAAAGTCAAAGCTGAATGTATTAGGAAAAACAACCCTAATTGAGAATAGAGATAAGAGTTAGTAATATACCAAAGAAACAGAATGCAATAAAGAGACACTTACCTTTGGCCAAGTCAATCACCATGCCTTTGCCTTCCCTAAGCGTTTTTTATAGGAGGCATTCTCTTCTTTGTGTCATTTGTGAGTATTCTTGAGAAGTCTGGATTACACGAGGCAACACGGATTAGCGACGAACTTGCCGAAATAGCCCACAACATTATAAAAAATTAATATATATAATTATATAAATATATTTTATTTCTATTACCATCTTGTATAACCACCCTTTGCCTTAATATCATTAATTCTTTTAGGCATTGTTTCTATATATTTTTTATAAGTTTTTTCAGATATTTCATTCCAAATCTCTAATAAATTATTCCAGAAAGTTTTTTTGTCATTAATATTAATCTCTAAATTATTAACTCTTCTTTTAATATTATTCCAGATATTTTCTATTGGATTTAAATCTGGAGATTTTGATGGCCAAGAAATAGTTCTAATTTGTTATTTTTTAACCATCTTTGAACTATTTTAGTCTTATGTTTAGGATTATTATCATGTTGAAATATAATATCTTTAGGAGCTAAATGATAATATCTTAATGAATAAATTAATTTTTTTTTCAAAATTTGTCTATAAAACTCTGCATTAAGATTTTCTTCAATTTAGATAAATATCCTGTATCATAATAAGTAAAACATCCCTATATATTAATGCTATATTTACTAAATTTAGTTATAGGAATTATATGTTGATCTTTTAAAGATTTTATAGATTTTCTCCAGCAATATTTATGCCTTTCAGCTTCAAAAAGTTGAAATTTAGTTTCATCAGATCAAACCACCATACTCCAATTTTCTATGGTCCAATTTTTATATAATTTTGCAAATTCTAGTTAGATTTTTTTATATTTTTTACTTAAAAAAGGTTTCTGTACCATATACAGTATATGCTTTAAATCCATTTTTCTTAAGAATTCTTCGAATCATGTTGACACTAATATTATTTTTTTATATTTACTTAAGGAACTAAATATATCTGACCTGTGATTCTATAGCACATTGGTAGTACTCCCAAGTCGCAATCACTAGATCCAGAGTTCAATACCACATGAGGGTCAAGTGAAAATAAGCCACAAGTGATATGAAGATCTTATCTATCTCATGATGCTAATCCGGTGATCCAAGTATGGCAATAAAACACAGATCAATGGGCCAATAATGCAGTGGTTAGCATTTCATAAAAGGTCAACAATCATAAGATTTGAGTTCAATTCCACCAATAAGACACAAGACCAGCTTGATAAGGAAAAGAATCTATCCATGCATAAGCGTAAATTAACTGATGTTTTTAATATAGCATTTGGTCTATATATAGATTGTGATCATGTTATAATCTGAAATCAAATAGAATTACCATTAACACAATCACATTATCAATAAAAAGGATAATAATAAGAGTAGATCTCCAAACTGGTAGCATGTTCTTAGGACTTATTCTCATGCATGTGGCTGTATCAGCTATCACAGACTTTATTATTGGAAGGCCTTGGTAGGAGGAGAAATTCGCGGATCATTTCGAAAGATTGAAAACTGGGATCCAGGATACTGAATAACAGCCTGATAACTAGAATACTCTTAATAAAAATTGTTCTAGAAATAATTAAGATGGAATTGTACATGCTTCCAGTTTGTGATTGAGCTGGTAGTAGTGATACATAGCATTATTTAAATATATATACAGCTATTCATGTAAAATAGATTTACTATAACTATATGTATAACTACTTATTTGTAATAATCAAACAGTTACGATTAATAAAATTACAAATTAAGCCTATGGGTCCTAACAGGATCTTAATTGATACAATTAGAGAAATCATCACAATACAGTACATTAAAATTCAGTGGACAAAAATAAAAAACTACTCAGGAAACAAAGGAAATGAACAAGCAGACAAACTAGAGACCACCAACCTCACAGACAGCTTCAAGGACATAATAAAAATCCAAGAACTAAAGACTATAAGCAACAATACAACATTAAGATGAGACCAGTTCTTCGTGACCTTCCCTTTAAAACAATACGCAAGACCCTCCTAAAAACAAAATGGGCCAGTAAATGAAGTACATTACAATGAAACCAAATATAGTTAACAAGACAAAAAAGCAAGAAGATAAACTGGAAACTAACTATGTAAACCTTGATGCCATCCAAAATCCCCTCCCTTCAGACCAGTCTAGAAGATCACAGGGATAGAACTTTTTGATGGAAAAGATGGTCCAACGAATATTCCACAATAGCAAATATGAATACACGCAAACCATGGATATACAAGTCAACAAAATGTGTAATCTGCGGAGGACAGAAAGAAAGAGATTTACATCCTTTCACTTGTGGACTCAACAAAACAAGATTAATTGAGAAACTCACAAAACTCTTGACATAAAAATGTGCATCAAGAGCCAATGGCAACAACAGTCACAATCTATTCAAAGTAGGTGGGAACACCTCCTCAAACCAGACAAAAAGAAAGAAAACCAGGAGATGGTAAAACCAACAGATGGAATCAGAGGGGTCATTATACACAAGATAATTCGGATAGCAAAGAAAATCACAGGAGAGAAAAGGAAGCCAAAGCTCAGTAAAAAAGGCAACAGTATAACTTTGGCAAGAGAAAAAAAGTATTTGGAGGTTAAGATGTGACTTGATCCTAGAATGGGAAGACACAGGACATATCTAGGAAAATGAAATGAGAACGAATAGGAAATAACACTAAAATATCCAGAAAAGAAGCCTCAGGGAATGAAGGAAACAAGACAGATGTCAGCAGAAATTTGTACATAGAACTAACAAACCATAATATGAGAAACATACTACAAAACTGTTTTAGTATTAACTCTTTATTTCATATAAATATCAGTGTTAGTGGAGTCATGACATGCTAATATTTACCAAAATGGTGAACTGCAGCAAGTTGCAGGGTTTGTGAGATACTAAGTCATTAGTTTTTTTCCTAACATAAATGTATTTTCTTGCAATTTAATTTGTGTATATAACAGAATATTAATGTTTAAATAAAAACTACATGGCATGACTTCGCCAGCTTTAAAAAAAAAAAAAGATCTACATATATCTATAGCAGTTTTACATTTTTCTTTTAGAATTTTTCAAATGACAATACATTCTTCAGGTAGAGTAAGTTTAGGTGGATGACCAGAAATAGGTTTATTTTCTAATTTGTTTGTTTTAAGATTTTTTTTTTAAGTTTAGATGTAGTGAAATAATGAACATTGTTACCAATTTTGGCAGCAACTTGACGTAAACTATAATCTTCTTCTAATAAGGTAATAGCCTTTACCCTTTTCTCTATAAATAACTGTCTTGAAAACATTTGGTTTATACAATGTTTGAATAAATTTTTGCATTTTTATATTTTTACAAAAAAATGCCAAAAGTTGCCCAACAGTAAATTTTTATTAATTGCATCATAAAAAATTTTTTTATTATTTTAATCACTATTCTAATGTATACACCAAATAGATTAGTGTATATACTATAAATTTCATAATGATCTGATCAAAATTTTAACACTTAAAGATCGATGATCAGGTGTTTTGTTCTTTTTGGGAGACGGTGTAAATCTCAAAGTCATCACCTGTATTTATACGTATATACTGTAATAAAGTTTCCACTACCTAAGCGTTACACAAACAACAATCTTGCCACGAGATCAAATATCTGGTGCTCTAAATCAATATTTATCGAAACAAAGAGCGAGATTGGCAAATCGGTGGAAAGGTATAATATACAATGTCATGAAGAAAAATGCGTATTAAGAAAGTGGTATAAAATAATCTTTGCCATTCACCAATTTATTAAGGATTTTTTTTTTTTTTTTTTTTTTTGCGGGGATAGCAAAAGACTTGCTGTTCAACCAGTTACAAGACTTTCCAATCTTCTCGTTCAACCTGACATAACTGTTTGTCATGCTTACGCAATCTTTATTTAATCATGAACACGTACAATTTGTGTCTGTAAATTTTTTTTCACAATGCACATCACAATGTATCACGAACCAATTTTCCATTAGCTTCATTATTTTCCGCAAACTGTACGTATATTGCAAATGTGTCCAATAGAAAAAATTTCCGTAGTGAGGCTCATGTATGGTTCTAGCAAGTTTGGCACGTTTTAGTTCGCATCATATAATAACCTCTTAATACTATAATGCTTTTTTTTTTTTTTTTTTTTAGCTGGCGAAGTCATGCCATATAGTTTTATTTAATAATTATCTTAATGCTATAATGCATTGTGACATTAAGAACATTTGCATCGCGTTCAGTTCTTAATGTCGATCACGGGTTTTAACTAATCTCCGCTGGTTGGTTCGTCGGTAACTTCGAAAATTGTGGCGTAGTATTTATACTGGCATACAGTATCATCACTCGAACAACAGCATTATTTATAAATACTGTATATTATCCATGTTTTAACTATTATACCGTATTCGTTTTATCTGGAAGATTTGGAACACCATATCAATTTTTTTTATCTAATTTATCCGGATATTAACCGGCAGTAACCTTTGTAATTATCGTTAATGAACTTTAATACTGTATGGCCTTATCGTTTATTTTTACTAAACTTAAAATTCTTAATATAACATTATTTTTAGTCACTTCACCAATCTCTACTAACCATAATATTAATGAAATAATCTTATGACATAGTACATAGTAGATTTTTTTTTTTCTTAAATTGGGCATGGAACTTCATCAATGGGAATTCTTTTCACATAATTCCACCATTTAACCAATCTCGACTTGATTAAAATAATTTTATGACATAGTACATAACAAATTTTTTTCTTAAATTGGGCATAAGAATTCATAATCCCACCATTTACCATACTAACATCAACCGTTTACGCTAATTTTTCAAAGAACTCATCAAATATGTTGTCTTTAGAATACCACTCATACAAGTATCTCGACAATCCTTCGTCCATAACAACTTGTTGGTCAGGACATCCGGAAGGAAAAGGTTCCTGTGAGATAAGTGGAACAAATTCCCCCTCAAAAGTCTGAGACAGTTCATGTTCAGTCACTAGGGAAGGAAAAGGCTTCTGTGAGATATACGGAGACAGATCAAGTTCACCCTCTTCGATTCTTTCGCTGATAGGACACGCCATTAATTCTTCGTACGCAACTCCCTGTTGGCTGGGCCCTTCAAAAGGAAGACGTTCCTGCGAGATATACGGAACGAATACCCCCTCAAAAGCTTGAGATAGCACATGTTCAGACACCAGGGAAGGAGAGGGTTCCTGTGGGATATACGGAGACTGTTCGACGACATCATGTGGGTTAGGTCCTGCAGAAAGATGAAGTTCTTGCGGGATATATGGAATGAATCCCCCCAAAAAAGATTTGGAGAGTTCATGTTCGCGCTCCTTGATTCTTCTGCCAATTATTGACGCGACTCGTCTGTACTCCTCACGAACCGTTATGTCTTCATTGTGCCATTGACAGCTCGCCATCTTAGACACATTAGACATGTCCAACCTATGGTTAAGTCTCGAGACCTCCCTAGTGAATATTCGTCTGTAGACAAAAAATCCGTTTGGAGTTTTCGTGCCAATCCGCTCTTCCGAACGATTTATGAACTCAGATATCTCAATTTCAGAGGCTCTCGGCATTTGGATGTAATCAAGGGTAGTCTTTGGTTCACAATTTTTGCTAGAGGTTTCTCTAGGCTTTTTTTTATGTTGCGAGGTCTTGTGTACGTAGTTCGAGGAAGGCTGAACTACAAAGATGTATTCCATAATTTTATTGAACATTGAGCACATTAAGGAGAGATTCTTGGATCTTATATAAGAATTTATTTATTATAATTGAATATTTAATTTGAAAGTCCACGAAATTGAAAAGGAAAACAGGAAATAAACAAAGTATAAAAAATAATCTGATTTCGGAATTAGAGATAATCGCAGTTTTCTTAACTTTTGAAGAAACTATTGAGTTGATCGATTAAGGAAAATATTATTTGAATCGATGAAACTACCAGCTATTATGGATTTACCGAAAGCATCAATAACTCTTTTAAGCAAACAAAGCATAATTAACTTATTTAAAAATCTTCGAATTCGTGCAACAAAAATACAATTTACGTACACTACATATAGCAGTAAAGTCGAATTTCGCACCAAATCTGTAATTATGCGTAATAACAATGCATTTTAAGATACATATGGGTATTAATTGTTGACTGACCTATGATAAATAAATCCACGCCTTTGTTTATTAAAAATTCACGGTGTCGGTCTTATCGGATATAAATGTTGGAATGCCATGAACCAGCGAGTGAATGCAAAGATGAAAAGTTTATTAATTTTTAAATAAGAATGTATATAGATTAGGATAAAATTGTCTCTCATGTCATAATTTACTGTATTTTATTTTATTTTTTTTTTTTTTTTTGAACGTTTAGTATATCTCAGAATGAATTAAACTAGTAGAGAGAGATAATGCCACATGTTCTCCGTGTCACTAGTGGGGATAGGGATATGTATTAACATATTTACAAACTGTTTAGAATATGGTAACAAATACCGTATTTTGATAAAGTTTTATCTTACTGTAAGCTGTAATCGGAAGATCTTTAATAACAAAAACGATATGCACACTTGTCACGGAAAGCACGCAACGCCGATGCATGTGAACCGCTCTACCTCAATAAATTCCTTTTAGTCGACTTCCACAATAATGTCATTTCGGGATTTATCTTTTTTATTTAATTACTATTATTATTATTTTGAATAAAACTGCGCTAGTTATTAAGATGAAAAAAAAAAAAAAAGCAGAGTGATGATCTCACAATGATAAGATGGTTTATTGATAAATGTAAGTGGGGGAAAATACTTTTAAATTTAAAACAGAACACTGTACTCAATATAATTATTCTCATATGGCGTAAAAAATTTTTATTGGACATGTGAGGTTTGCGAGATCTCCGAGATCTATAGTTGATACAGGATGCACTAGATGTCGGACACTTCTCAGGTAACGATTTAAAATGGTCGACCGTTCGAGCGAAAAACCCATAATGAGTTAAATGGTATGCATTGTTGTTGTAGAAGTAAATAAAAATTATTAATTTTTCATAATTTGTAAGGCTAATTGTATGAATAAATCTATAAATAGCATAGGGAATCTCTTCAGAATCAGCAAGAGGCACAAAAATAAAGTATGAAAATAAGAGGATTTGCTACAGAATAAATTTCAGTGTTTGGACATGAGACTTATTTCTTTCCTTAATCAGGTGTGCTCTGTCGCGTGAATTTACTGTACATTTTAGGTATGTGTATTGCGGTTGAATGTTTTCAATAAATTTTTTTTCCGGAAAAAATAAATAAATGCTAAAATGCAGTGTTAAGCAGATGTTTTCGGCCATGAGTTAATGCATAATACGTGTAAAAGAACTCCTATTACTACATTATTAGAATTATATCTTAAAAATCCCTTTTCCATCGAGAATTTCTATGAATGAACTAGTAGTCTAGAAACATTCTCGCAGAAAACATAAACCTACCCTACTTGCTGGGCCGGTAACTATGAATTGTTATTGAGGAGCTGCATATGAGATGCATTGTGTGGACTGTTATTCATTTCCATTAAAATAATGCAGCATGCAATGTACCATAGTGCGGGCATACCCTATTCTAGTTTTCGACAGGTGTCACTAAACATGCAGCACATACCCTTCTAATTACATTGACTCAATAATCCTATTTTCATGCCAGCAGAAAAAAGTCCAATGCGCGTATTCTAAAATTACATCACAATTTGGCACAGAACTTGTTTTGCTTTTTTGAACTGTCGCATTTTGTTCAATTACAATAAATTACTTAAACCATCTTAAATCTGCCCTCACAAAAAGGAAAATCGTTATTCCTTTTCTTAACTAATAACGAATAAATTCTTAGATGTTGCAATTTATTTAGAAAAGAACTTATGAAATAATGTTCTTTTTTCACTTTTATTTTGGCGAATCGTGCATGTCTATTGTATTACATTTTCAAGAAGTGTATTCCTATATATCCACATTTATCCCCCTTTTTCTTCGATTTTTTTCGGAGGGTTGTGAGAGTTTCATACTTCTTTTAACTTTAATAGAGAATTTACATCCGAACCTAATTATCATGGATCTCTCCTTAATTTACTCGGGGCATTTTCCCCATTTCTATTTCTTTGTCTATAAGACATTCAATGCGTTTCCTTCTTAAACCCTTTCACGCACGTTTACAACGAATTTTGAAACATAAAAAAAAAAAGATATCCAATTTTTTTTTTGGTCTATACTAGAATGTCAAGAGCAAATCCAGGAGGAAGGATTAACAAGAAAAGAAGCCGCGCATTCACGAAGAAACTTGTTATATTGACTACAATATAGAGGTGGATAATTTCACTAAATGAGAAAGAAGTCAGAGGAATAACAACAATTAAAAAGCATCAAAGAACACGACCGAGTGGCTATTATTGTTGGAAAGATTAAGGAGATCGAGCATGAATTTTCGACTATGATAATCCATATTCGGAAAAAATCCAGAATGTATTACAGCGCTCCCAAAATAATCGGCGATCTACAATTTTTAATGCAGGTCAACCAACTCTATAATTTTATTTTATTTTTTTTTGCATTACCCACAGCCAGGTTGAAAAGTTTGTTTATTAATCAAAAGAATACAAAAATATATATTAATTATAGCATAATGATACATACTGCAGCTAAATATTAAGTCGCACCTAACTCTCTCATCATAGGCATTAAAAGCTTTTAAGTTTGACCTTAGGAACAATATTTCATACTATAATGAACTTTAGATAAAGACATTTCTAGTATATATATTATAACCAGCAGGCTGTCACTGCCATATGTTCTATCAAGTTACCAGAGTACAAGAAATTACAAAAGGGATTATATTAAAAAAAGGGAGAAGAAATATGCAATTATACAAAAAAAGAAAATAAAAAAATTTTTATTTAACTTTTTTCAAATTTCATTTTTAAAGATATCTTTACATAAAAATGTTTTATTAAATATCTTTTCTTCTAACTATTTGAAAATCTTATCTATTTTGATTTAATATTTTAATTATATTGTTTATTTAATTTTTGCCTTTTGAAAATCTTTAAATTATAATTTAAAAGTTTTATTATTATAAGATATACTATATAATTTATAAAAAAACAAAACTCTCTTACACTTGCATTCAAATTTTTGAAAATTTCCTTTTATTGTAACAACTCAAAGTTTGCAAAAAAATCTACATTACAAAGAGCTACAAAAATAAACATGACATCAAGACTAAGGAAGAAAGACAATATAATTAATTATGCTAAAGAAAAAATAATTACAGACAGTGGCAAAATTTCAAAACTGCTTCTAAAGATAAAACTCACAAACAAGTTCAATTTATGTCTTCCACCAAGAAACCAAGAACCTTCTCAGAACTACTCAGTAACTTTAACAGGTTGAAAGAATGTCAAGAGTATCTTAAGTAGCAAAAAATAATAGAACTTAAAGATACGGCAGCAAAAAATTCAGCAGAGAAGAGTTGAATATTATGGAAGAACTTCTTAAAAACAAAGAAACAATAGAAACCTTCAAACCAACCTCTTCAACTATAATCCTTCTATAGTACCAGAACATAAAAATAAAAAAATCTCAATAACAATGTCCTAAACAATATTACTCAAACAACTATATATACAAAGAGAGAAGTAAACAAATACACAAAAATTCAGAAAAAGATGCAAATAATACAAGACAGGATACACTCTAACCAGACAAAGTTTTGTTCAACTCAGAAGAAATATTCAGAAACTGATTTCAAGAAAAACTCCAACATGTTAGAAATAGTTGCTAAACTTGGAATCCTTAAAACATATATGAATAGAAAAGCTTGCAAGTAAATATGGGTCCCTAAAGAAGGAGGCAGAGACATAAGTCAAATGTTCCTCACTAGGAAATATTAAAATTTTTAAATTAATAACTATTAAAAAATACCCATAATTATTCTCTATTATCTAAATTATTGATTTATAGCATTTCCTGACTTTTGTCCCTATTAAAGTGAAAAATTATGAATTTTGTTCCTCAAAAAAAGACATAAGTGATCTGTCAAATTTTATATGCTAAATACTTTAAGGACCTTTTATTACCTACAGAAGTATCAAAAATAGCAGCTGTCTTTAATAACTACTATCAAACTCTAGCTGCATGTGAGATTAGGATCACCAATAAAGAAATTGTCAAATTAAGTCAAGCTTCTTTGATCAGTACTATAAAAGGAAAGACAAATTCTATCAGTATTTAAAATATTCTTAATAGCTATACAAAAAAAAAACATTACCAGTTTATTCAATGATGAATTAACAATCAAATGCAATACACTACAATCAGCAGGAGCTATTGTTATGGGTCATATGGGTGACGTGGTTTATGCGTAATGGTCTAGAATCCAAAAATCCAAAAGTCTGGCATGAAAGATTGAATGTTGCAAGGTAAGAAACTATAGATAAGGCTCAGATACTGATAAGGGAACTATGTGTATTTAAAAAAGTATGAAAAGTTTAGCAAAGCTTAGGGTTAGTATAGCCGATTATAAAGTAGATAGCCCATTGTTAGTTAGAAAAGTATAAATAGCTTACCAATGTATGCCAAAAAAGCAGAGCTGAATGTGTTAGGAAAACAGTCCTCCTTGAGAATAGAGATAAGAATTAGTGAGATACCAAAGAAACAGAATGCAATAAAAAGACACTT